ATTATAGTGTTTAAATATTGAAAACGGAAATTATGAATATTCTTGTGATTCCTTATAAAGAACGAAAGAAGACACAGTGTAATTGGTAAAAAACCAAATTGAGAATATTCAATGAAAAATCACTTATTTTATGACTTTATTTTGTGAATTTCGACAAACGTTGAAAAATTTTTTTATGGTTTGTTTTTTTTTTTTTTTTTTCCAAGATGATTGAAATTAACTAAATTTAGTTCATAAATTCCTTACAAGTTCTTTTATTTTTTGTTATTTATTGAATTTATTTTCTGCTAGCTCAAAAAAAAATTTAGTACATAAAGCGAAATTACTTTTTTTTTAGGCTACAGATTTGTTATAGAGGTTAGATATTGAATTTTAAGCTATAAATTTTAAAATGTAAACTTTTTAAGTTTAAATTCTAAACTTTTTGGTTTAAAATAGTAACAAAATTTTTTTCAGTGTACAAGTGATGAGATGAGATTCAAAGTACAATGACGAGAGTAAAAATATTTTTTTAGGCACACAGTTTGACACATCGGTTATCCTCCAAACTATATATTCGCTGGTCGAAATGTTTGAAGGATATTTGATGTGAAAACACTGGTTACTTACATTGTTGCTTACACAAATACAGAGAACATAAATACACAATAATAGATTATAAGAATATTTATTTAATAATGAAATAAATCAATCTTGAAACAGAACTCAACTAAAAAGGTGTTTTGACTATATCTCCACCTGCTGTTATAATGATGATCCCCGCGTGATTTTAATATTACAATGTAAATGAATCCTTATAATATATTTGAAAATAAAGGAAGATTTACGAAATACGCAAACCACTCCTTATTAGAAACAAATAATGATATCAGAGAAAGCAACTATTAGCTGCTAATTTACTTATACCTTGATAATGATTAATATAATAACACGGTAACGATGGCAATATTTCATTACAATAGCTGGTATTTTTAGAATGAATACTTTATAGTCTTCAACGGTAACGATGACAATCGATTACATTTTCTTTTCTATATTTTAATCTTTCTAAAAATGTTTTCGATAGAATTGAATCATGTAAAAAAACTGTAATATGTAGTTGGCTTTGGATGAAATATTCAGTGTGAAACCAATGAAATTTAACAGTTTTAGCAGACTATATGCTATATTGAATACTATGCCGGTCTTTAAATAACAAATTCTTTAAATCGAATGCTTGCTTTTGTGAATTTTGCACTTGGAGTTTATAAAATAATTCATATTCAAACGAAATTTAATATATTTTTGGAAACATGTTATCATAAAATGGTATATAGAAATATTTTGTTATATAAAATTTGCTTTGATTTAGGAGTACAACAAATAATTATGCATGCTTGTTAATTTATGCTATTTTATACTTTATTTCAATCTCTACTAAAGGGATTGAGCAATAATAACGATTCGCAAATAATTTCTAAACTACTGGATTCAATTTTCATATTCTTAATTTTGATTACATTTTAAACCTTTAGAATAAAATATGCATGCATATGGTTTTGAAAACTTTTCTCTCAATTGATTTTTTTTTTCTTTTTTTTTCTTAAATACATCCTTCTTGCTTGTATGATGAATGATATAGGTGTAATAATGTGTTAAATAAAAACCAACATAAAAATTTTTTTTATATTTTACAATCGCAGAAGATAAATTGAAAATAAATTTTTCATCGTTTTTATTCTTTTATTATTGAGTAAAAGAAAAATCATTTTCGCATTTGGTTCCCAGCGTTATTGATTTTTCGATAAAGGAGCATTAAAATAACAAGACAACAAAATCAAAATGATGGCATTTAAAAAAAAACAAAAGCAAAATTGAAAAACTGAAAATAAAACATGTTTTCTTGGTATTCTTGATTTGACACATTAAAGCAGAGTTACTCGACTTTTGTAACAAGGGGTTTCCGGAAAAACGAGAAAGTTCGAATATATGAAAAATATTCAAAAATTTGAGAATATTGAGAAAATAATATTTTAAAAGATTCAAGTCATGGCTAAGTGTTAAAAAGTCATGCCAAGTAATAAAAAAATTAAAATTTAATTATGTAAATTTAGTATCCGAAAACTGTTATACATTACATAATAATGTTGGTTATAATACAATTTATTTGTTGAACCATCTTATCATAACCATCATAAGACATCTTATGTCTTATAGTATTCTAAATACTGAAAACCAAAACAATACCGTCAATATTTTGTTTACATATTTGTTTTATAATGCTAATGTAAAATTACTAATTTTATAACAGTTGACTTCAAAAAATATATTCGTACAATCAAACTCTAGCAATAAATTGTGTTTGAAAATCGATTCAATTAAATTTGCATCCGTGAACTCTTAAGTGTATGAAACATAGAATCGATAAATCAATATATCGATTATAAAATTAAATACGTTGTACTAAAGAAACATAGACGTCATATATTTTAAATGTCAATCGATAATCGGAACACTGCTCTTGTGTCAAAATTTTAATATGTGCAATTCAACATGAACACAATACTCTCTTTATTATCATATTAAATGTGATTGGTATAAAAAACAAAAAGAAAGTAAAAACAATCATATGGAAAATAAATCGTCGTCAGTGTCATAAAAAATAAAAAGAAAAGAATAAAAAAAAAAATTTTTTTTTTTTATTATGTGGTAATCTTTTTAGTATAGACTGTAATGTGCAGTATTTGTGAAAATTTTTTATTCGCAATTGACTTCCGGTGAAGTCGTTAGTAGTTGTTAAATTCGTGTTATACAAATACCCAGTTTATACTTATATGTACATTCATGCATACATACACATATGCATTATGCTACAAATAAGAGTAAAAATAAATGACAGAGTTTTTTTTTTCCTTTTTGTTTAACTCAAGTATATACGCTGTCAATAATTGAAAAGAAAATTTAGAAGGAAAATTGAATTTTGAAATATAAAACAAAATCATCAAAAAAAAAAAAATAAAGTATAGAACTCAGATGACTTTTGAACATTTTTTTTTATATCCATCAATCATTAGTGAATAGAAGATTTAAAGCTTGATGTACGAGAATTTAATGTTTCCGTTTTTTATCTTTGAAAGTACATAGGTGTATAAGTAGCTAAGGAGAAGAAATCCTTAAATTTTTGCCAACAAAAGAAAATACGACAAGACATCATCTAAAGAATTTACGTGTAGTTTATTTTTTTAAGTGTTGCCACAATTTTTTTGCAAATTGTAATTTACACTTTTATGAGAAGCTGTCATTTATCTTCACTCCATTTGGTTTTTTCAGTCATGCATAAGTTTTTCAGGTAGCTTAACTTCACTATTATTAAAAGGAATAATTAATTTTAACGTGTCCATGAAAGACAGATGCATAAGTTTTTGATATTTTATTCAACGACGTCTGTTTCTAATTTTAAATAATCCAGAAAGAAAGGGAATAAAAAATACGTTTATGAAATTTTGAATTAAATTTAAAAAATTTTTTTTTATTAAAGGATAATTTATAAAATTTTTGTATATTCTGCAAAGCAATTGTAATCGGTTTATTACTAAAATTTTATTATTTTAAAATCATGAAAGGATTAACATTTAAATCACTTATTTTTGTATGCTACATGAGTAGTTTGTGTGCGCATATTTGTAAATTTATAAACATTTTCATTATTTTAATAGATTCTTTTTAAAAATGGTTTGGTTGAGTCTAAAGAATTAAAAATATAACCTGTTATTTTTGTTTTTTAATTTGTCAGCTCATTTAGCAATTTGTTGTAGCAGAAAATTTTTACAGGAAAATAATAATTTTCTTTCTAATAAAATCCACTAATAATTGTTCAACATTTTCAATATATTCACCGTCTAATAATGTAGATTGAACGAGGCAAACTGATACTACAAAATATCTTCATATATCCTTTTGTATTTGAAAACAGATTTAAGCGAATGATTACTTTAAAAATTGTTCTCTTTAGCTTAAATTTATATAAATTGCAAATCTTTAATTAAGAGTTAATCGATAAATTTAATAGAATACTGAAATATTGTTAAACACAGTATACAAACATAAGCAGATAATATTTCTGAAAGTACAATATTTCTCTTGTACATATAGGTCAAAGTATTATAGCAATAGGTCATAACATTATTTTACTTAAATATTTTACTATTATTTTTTTGAAAATTTCATTTTTTTTTTCGGTTAAGGATAATAATTATTCAATTTGCATAAATGTACATATAAATGTACATATTCTCTCGTAATTCTTATGTATATACTAATATATACAAGATATGTAAAAATATCTCAAAATAATTGACAAGAAAACATAATAATATAATATCGAGACCATTCTTATTCTATAATAATAAATATGAATATAAAAATCGTAATAACAAAATGTTAAGAATTACAATACTAAAAACTACACGAAGGTATGTACCTTCATATATAGATAAAACTATGATGTAAATGAAAGTTTAAAATGTTCAAAATATGGCAAATTGTATTCGGATATTGCACATTTTCGATGTAAATAATAATATAATCCTAAAATTTACATGCAACAATATTATTTTGTTGATATGGATACCAAATACATATAATCCTTGACCTATATAATTAAAAATTTGTGATTTTAGTGTAGATGTATTGGTAAATAATGACAATAATATACATATGACATAATAATAATTATATATTCGTACATAAATATAGAAAATTATCATAAATTCATGTCAACCTGTTTAATTCTTTATCATTGTGAATCAGGGAATAAGATGTACAGATATGGTAAATTTTTAATAACACCCCAATTGGGATATAACGTAAGTTTTTTAATTTTTAAAATGGTTGAACATTATTTAACTTATGTGTCTGTCACAATAATATTTATGTTTGTATATATATATATATTATGTAGAAAATTATTAATTTACTAAAAAGGACATGTACTTTTAACTTATACAATTTTCTTTTCTTACCCATTTCTTCTTTTTTTAAGCAGTTAAGTGAATTATATGTAAATTGCTTTCAATTCTCTTTATCTTTAATAATTTATTAACTCAAATGAATATCATTCTCTTAAATATTAAATATATGTAAGTATAATATGCACATATATAATTGTATATATACAAAAAATGTTAAAGAAGCGTAAATTATTTCCTCAATTTATATGAAGAATGTTAAAATGATAGCCTATTTTATATGAAAATTAATTTAATAAATCATTTTGAATGAATGAATATTTTTTCCTTCATTTTTCTTTTGCTATTTTTTCATTCTATTTTTTCTTTTTGCTGAAATAAAATTAAACAAAATGAAAATGAAGAGTAAAAATAAAATAAGGGGAAAAAAAACTTTTAGCGATTCTCTAAATGATCTCGAAATTGACTTTCTTTCATCTTATATGAGAGTCTATACATGTATTAAGTTTCATTGTTTATTCTTTAAAAATAGAAAATAAAAGGAAATATTTATGGTGAGGCAGGACGTAAGATGGACATTACAAATACTTGTTATCTATTTATGTAAAGACTTTTAGTCGTTTAATAAAATCTAAACTAAAAATATATAGGAGACTAAAAATAGAAGAAACAGCACTTAAAAGTTTTCATTAAAATTTTTTTTTTTAAAAATCGAAAACCTTAAAAGACATGGAAAACATTTGCACTAAATTTGTTCTAAGAGACAGGAGAATTGAAAACAAATTTAAAAATTCGATTCTTACAATCGATTAAAATATAGAAAATTCGATATAGCAATAATGCTTACATATAATGAAAATAAATTGTGCTTTGCGCTACAATATTAGTCGAGAACTTATAATAGTTATACCTGTTAATATGTTGCTACATGTGGGCAACTTGAAATCAAGCACTAACATATATTACGACAATCCTACGGTTCTACAGTTCCACTTTTCTTTTAAATTTCAAAATTCCGTTTCTGATTTTCAATCTGTGTGTATGATGATCCTGCTTCGGTATATATACATATATGAATAAAAATCATAATATTAATGAAACTTCAACGTGTTGAAAGATGATGGTCACTTATTAAATGTTAGTGACGTCAAAATATTAATAAACTAAATAAGAATAGAAGCTCATCTAAGTTGATGAAATGAAAAAAAAGAAAAAAAAAAAGCGTTTTCCTTTTCGTTTTTATCCTGATTTTGTTCTTCCTATAAGAGTTGAATTGAAAAATTGCCTCAACTCAATTTTTTTTTGTTTTTTATTTTACTATGTAGTTTTTCATTTTTTTTTCTGTTTCTATACTCTTATTACTGTTATTTTTTGTGATTAAATGAATTGTGTGTGCTTGAAATCCTTTGTATATATAATATATTAATAAATATCTATCTATGTAAGTTTGTATGTGTTCTAAAGACTACTCAGGGCTTAACAAATAAAATCTAATGAGGACATTATTTTTGCTTTTCAAAATAAATTGAACGTAAACATAGAATACAAAAAAACAAAAAAAAAAGAATATAAACAATAACAAAATAAAAAGGCACAACAAATTCATAGATGCCGAAGAAATGAAATAAAAATAAAAAGGACTTCAAAGTAAACAAGAAAACTTTAGTCCTTGCTAATGTGTCAAATAAATTTAGGGAATGAGTTCTCTCACTATAATATTACTAAAAAAATATAAACACATATTCTCTTAACTGTATAAACAATATAATGTATAATTGTGTAAATATCATAGATGTATGTGTGTATGTGGGAATACAAAAATGTTTAAGTATACATGGAACGTGTTTATATTTTGTATCGCTTAGCTTATTCCTTACTCACTACTTGAATTATTGCCCTATTAAATGTGCGCGTATAACACAATAACATAGAAAATGGAATGAGGAAAAGAAATTTAATATGAAAGAATCAAAACAAAATTAAGGAGGGCGAAAAAAAAAAATATAATAACAAAAATATAGAAAAATTCCGAGATTTTTTTTGTCACTCTCATATTTTTTTTTTTTTTTTGGTTTTTTTTTTTCTCATGTATTTAATGATACATTGTGAATCATGGAACTTGTGTGTATGATCTGCATTAACAATAAAATTGGCTATATTTTTATATTTTTCTAAGCAAATTGGTAAATACCCTGTATGTATATGATATACCGATAGACCCGTAGCAAAATGAATGAGGCATTAGAATGTACGAGATCCATTAATATGAAATCCATTAATATTCCCAGAAAACGTGCATAAATCTATGATCCCTAACTTACGGATAAGATTGTAAAAAGTCAACTGAACGTCTCACATTCAAAAATCACATACACAATTTACGTTCTTCCCACTAAAAAATTGCATTATACAAAAATATTTTTCAAAAAACTCAGGAAATCTTTAAATAACCAATTAATTTTTTCCAATAAATATTTTTTTCCTCAGAACTTTACATTTAATTTTGTATATTGAAAATTAATAAATTTGAGATTTCCAAAAAAACGCTCCAGTTTTCCTTTAATTTAGGTACAATTACAAGTTGGATGAAACCAATGGTTTGACAAGTGAAAATCACTATCTAGCATTACTAAAACGACTTTCATTTATATACGAATATATGTAAAAAATTGCATACCTTTAGGATAAGCAATGTATGCATTCTTTGAGAGAAGACAAAAAAAAAATAAATTTAACGAGGCGTTAACCTAATGCTCGAATTTAAGGGTTAATTGAGCGAGTTAAGAAAAATAATTATATTTTTTAATGGCATAGAATTTGCCGTAAGTTTTCCGCTTTTATAGAAATTGAGAAAAGCTTACAGTTTCAGAAATATAAGGTGCCAAAAATTCAGATTTTCGAGATGGATATGGTAAAAAATTTTTTTCTAATAAAATGAACTATTTACTAATGTCTAAAAGATATTAAAATTTCAGACTCCTATAATCTGCTGTTTAGAAGAAAAACGATATCCAAAATTTGGGAAATCGGATTTTAGATAACGGTAAATTTCAATGGCCATTTTGTTTTTTTAAAGTTTAAATATAGTACGCCGCGTTGAAAAACTACTTGTTGTGAATATTTTAATCTCAATAAAATTTTTAACCACTTAATATTAAAAAAAAGTTTAAATTTAGTAACTTTTGTAATTTTTAAATTTTATTATTAAATAAATTTGTATATAATTTTCAAAATATGCATTTTAAATTAACTTTGACTGTAGTTATACGTAAATTACTATGAATTTAAAATTTAAAAGTTCAAAATAAAAATTTTGCGAAAAATCATATTATTTTTATACAGAATAATTTTATTTAAAGTTTCATTGAAAAAAGCGCATTTCATAAAGGATTACGAGGTATGATATGCGTTGATGCAGATGCTATTACACCACATTGAAACATAAACCTCTTTTTAGTAGAATTCTGAAAATAGTAAGATTTTTAATAAATAATGTTTATAAAGTATTTTAGTATATATTTTAAATTTTCATATACTAGGTGCAGAAAATATTTTTTGAAACTTAATATCATATTTTGTAGTGTATAACATGATAAAATCATCTATGATTCGCTTTTTGTAAAATATTCTTACTGGAATTGTGGGTAAGAATATAATTTGTCTGGGATATTAAACTTGTCAACAGTAAACATTATTGTTCCTCTCAGTATTTTCATATTTTGTTTTTCCTTTTAAAATTTATAAGATTAATTATTGTCCTTACTTATATTCTCTACACACACATAAATATAGGTACATATTATGTATGTACAGAGCAATGATAATTTTCTCCATTTTTGTGTACAAGCAACAAAAAAAAATATTATCGTATACGTATACAAGCAATAAATCTATCAAAGAATGGTTATTTATTAATTTTTTTTAAACATATCTAACATAGAACAAAACATAGAAGAAACATAAAAAAAATTAAAAATACAATATGTAGGTTAACTAATATTCTAAAAATTTTTCAAGAATTTTCATTATACTTGAACACTATAAAGTGAAAATATAACAATATAAAGTGAAAATTTTTATAAAAGGAAAATTCAAGTTGTTATTTTCTATTTTTTTTTTTAAATAATTTTCAAGGAGCTTCATTATTATATGTTTAGATTAAAAGTGATATAAAAAATTTATATTGGTGGGAATGGAATGAATAATTATACTCTTGGTTTAGGATTTATAATTTTAATTTTTATAGTGTTGATTATAGCATAAATTTGCGTATTTAATTAAGCGTGCAAACTAGATGAATATTGATCAAATAAATTCCCCTAATTTTTATATTTTGTGTTTTCTAACATATTCAAAGCCAATTTTCATTATAATTACACTGTGATTAAAATAAAAATTTTATTATTTTTGTAAAATTAAAATTGAAAGAAATGAATATTAGTTTCATTCTATCAGTCTGTCCGCCAATGTATCAGTTTATAAAACTTTAAGTTTTAGAAAGTTTAGAAAGTTAAAATTGTGCATAAGAATCTGTTTCTGGAAAAGAAAATTTCTACCAATCCCTCCTCCATTCCAATAGCTCCCTAAGTTCTTAAAAATTGCATTTTCTGACTATTCCACTGCAACGAAATCACAAACATTTTATAAATTTCGCAAATACAGAAAGGTAGCGAAGTAGTTCTTCTGTACCGCGGTATTGCAAAGCGGAATTTCAAAAATAATTTTTTCTTAATAAAAAAATCTCGAAAATCTGCTATAAAATCTGCAATAAACTTTTACAGATTATACCAGTTTATTTTGTAATCCACTCAGAATTTTTTTCAAAAGGTTTACAAACAATAATTATTTATAATTTCTCTAAAAAAACTTTGTTTTATTAGTGTCGTTGGATAATATTATTTCTCTTTCATCTTGAATTTTCTATTTTATGATATGCCCTATATCCTTTCATTTACATATAAACATACTCTTTGTATATACAAACTCATAATATCTATTTCGTTTAATATTTATTTATTTTGTTCCAGATTTCCTTAATTTTTATTTTCTTTTTTTTTC